GGACCGATAGAATTTACGAAGAAAAATCTACTGCAATTGTGGGTTTAGACATTCAATATAAATGCTCAATCATGCTATGTTGCCACGGAGGGTAACCCTCCTAACACTCACAATAGGGGGGTGGGGGAGATTTTTTGGCATTTTTATTCATGCGATTGGGCACACGTGAGTGTAGGTCAATCAAGTGAGCGAATTCTTTTTTTTTTTCTTTTTGGCAACCCTTTTCAACCATTTAGAAACAAATCATCCATTATGCGACTTTGTATGGATGAAAGTGCCTAATTCTTCAGCTTTTACACAGGGATGACATTCCGTTGAAATTTTTATGAAATTTAAACTTTATAAAATATTATGAATTGTCAAGATTTTCCTGTCTAATAATCAAGAAAATAAATTAAATGCGGAACATACCTTAATTCATTATGAATATTTCTTTAATACTGGATCTTGATTCCGGATCTTGAATCTTGAATATTGACTCTTTTAAATCTTGAGTTTTTTTAATCTTGATTTTGACTTCTTACTCCATAATCTTGATTGTCTTGTTCTTTAAATTTGATTCATGATTATGGGTTATTGAATTCTTCAATCATTGTTCTTAATGGGGGGTTTTGAATCTTCCTATTTAATATGTTTTCTCTTGTATTCCTGTGTTGATGAAATGACATAAAGAATGAGAATCACATATGAATACGAGGCTATAATTCTATTTAAAATTTTCATATGTATTTAACACATCATCAAATACAACTCTAATGGATCAAGTCTCTACACATATAATCATGTCCACACTTCGTAAGCCCAATAACTTAAATCCTTATTAGATAACTTTAATTTTCGGTGTAACTTTAAGGTAGTTTTTATTCACAATTAATTACATATGTCAGTCTGTATGATAAATTAATAATTTTTCCCAACACATTCCACTCACTAGACTTGGTCGCTTCTTTTGTGATACAAAATTCAGATTTAGGGGAATTTAAGCTGCTGATGTTGTTTCGAAGCTCGGAGATGGTTATATTTATTTGAATCCGAAGTATTGTGTGTTAGTGAAGTTCGGGCCATATGAGGAGAAGGTCCACCAACGGGCAGAACCTTTATGTCAAGTGATATCACTATTACCTCTCTTGTATTATAAAAAAATGGGTTGACGCTCGGTGGATGTAATACTTTTGTCAATCTCTTTCAGTTCAGCTGTCTTGTGAAAGGATCTTACACGTTTAATGTGGTTACTTTGGTGGGGAAAAAATTTGTGAACTATGGTGGAAATGAGGCCATTTTGCTGCATTTTAGAAGAGTTATTTTCCTTGATTAAGCACGGAACACTTCAGGTTTGCCATTGCAACTTCATGTTTAGGGTGCTTAGCAGTTAGCAGTTGAATATACTGATGCAGCGGTAGGAAGGGTGATGCAAATAGACGTGGTGGATAAACTCATGGAGGAATCGTGCATAAACAGGGGCGGATTCAGGATCGACAAAAAAAACTTTTTAATACGGGCTAATGGTTAAAAAAATTTACACAAAAAAAATGTTTTGTTAAAAAAAAAAAAAAAATTACAAGAGGTGTGTTGGGGCTGGCATCTCCCTAAATCCGCCAGTGCATAAATAAGGGTGGATTCAGGATCGACAAGTATTTTTTTTCAACATGGGCTAATAGGTAAAAAAAAAAATTCTTCATAAAAAAATGTTTTATTAAAAATAAAATAAAATTACAAGAAGTGCGTTATGGCTGGCATGGGCTAAAATCTGTCGGTGTGCATTAGACCCTGTTTGATGCACATTATTGAGTGGATAATGTATTTTAAATAGTGATTTGATGAAAAATATATGATTAAAAAATAAAGAAAAATTTTGAATTTACGTGTAATATTATTGTGTTGAATAATGTGTGGTTGAAAATGAATTTTTTTTTAAAAAATGAATTTTTGTAAGAACGTGGATCAAACGAGATGTAAAAAACAGCACATTCATCTTTATAATAATTTTTAATTAATATATTAAGGTAGGGGACAATGTCAAATTTCATGTCCTTTTTTAGGTAAAAAGCCTAAAACCTTTACACAAGGTTGAGTAGACTTCACCCAAAATCATGTGTCCTGAATTTTGTAAGGTGTTGTAACTAGGTTAAGCATTACGTGCCTAAATATGCCTTGGCTATGTGTAAAAGATGTTTTCTTATTAAATATTTTGGGACCTTTAAATAAATAAAATAAGAATTCTCCATCTCTCTTTCCAAACCCTTTCTCTCTCGCCTCACCCGTCTTCTCTGTGTGCTCGCCGGAGGGGTGGGAGCCTAGGCTCCTTCCTCTTCTCCCTTTTCCCTTCTCTCTTCTTCTTTATTTCCCTTTTCTTTTCGTTGCCTGCGGTTTCGGTGGTTTTGCAGGTGTCGTTTTTTTTTGGGTTGGTGGCGGTGGTCCGGTGACCCAAGGCGGTGGTGGTCGCGGGTGCTTTGGTCGAGGAGCGGGGCGGCGAGGTATGGCTGGCGCCGGGGCGGCAGTCCTCCCCGTGTGTGGAGGTGGTGTGTTTTTCCGTTTTCGGGCTGGGTCCTCGTTTTCCGCTCGGTCGTCTCCGGTGGCTGGAGTAGGCGAGGTTGCTGCTGGTTTTGGGGTTTGCCGGCGAGCCTTTTTGGCTAGGTTTCCAGCGTTGGTTGCGGGGTGTTGATCGGTGGTGTTGGTGTTTGGTTGGTGTTGGTTGGTGGTGTGTGTTTGGTGTTTAGTTTATGTCTTGTTGTTTTGTTGTGGTTTGTATGTTGTTTTGTCTGTGTGTTTGTTCGATCGTTGCGAAGTCAAGACACTGCCCGCTCATTGTGGGGATGCTTAATTGCTGATTGCATAGTTGGCTTTCAGTCAGGCCTTGCCTGTATTGTAAAGTCACAGCTGTTTTATGACTTCGTCCGTTTGGGGTCAGTTGGCGGGTGAAAGGTTGGGGCCGTTCTTGGCGGTTCGTGGGTTGGTGGGTGCTTTTCTTTGTCTGTCCTGCTGTTGTGGTGGTGTTATTGGTTTGCGGTGGTGTGTGTGGCGGTGTATATTTGGGGACGTGGGTTGATGTGGCGATTTCCTTTGGTTGATCACCGAATTGCGCTCCTTTCCGTTGTTTTCAGTACTGGGCAGCCACCTTCCTTGGAGGGGGCGTGCGTTCTTGAGTATTGTATTCCCAGCCAGACACCATTTTGGTCTGCTTGTCATTGCGGGCAGGAGCTTTGTTTTGGTGTTTCTTTGTGTTGTGTTTGGTGGTTTTTTGGTCTGTTGGTATGTTTGGCGGTGTATATTTGGAGGTCGATAGCTTTGGGCAGCCACCTTCCTTGGCGGGGCAGGTGTGTTTGTGGTTTCTTTCCCAGCCGGTTCCAATTTTCGCCTGCAGTTCTTTGTGGACGGGAGTTTCTGGGCCATGTTTTGGGTGTGATTTTTGGTTTTTTGGTTTTTTTTGTTGTTGTTTGTCTTATTTGGTCTCTTGCAAAGGGTACACTGAATCTCTCTTAGTCTTAGGAGAGCATAGTGTTGGGGGATTTTCCTCCATGTATCCATCATATTTGCTGTTGGTTGAATATATTGTTCATCTTTGCCTCAAAAAAATAAATAAAATAAAGTATACAAGATAATCTAAATCATAAACACTATTATTACTGAATAATTCGTACGGTTAAAAAACTTCCAAGTTCTCAAAAATTAAAGCCTCATTTGGTTTGCAATTCAAATTTCATTTTGAGTTTTGAATTCGTTTTCAATATTTTTATTTTGAAAGTATGTTTTAAGATTGCAGAAAAATGATTTGTCATTCTGAAAAAATATTTTTCAAAACAGAAAACTGGAAAATACATTTAATTTGGGATTTTTAGAGATTGTTATACAATATTTTATTCAATGAAATTGGTTATTTAATAAAAAAGAACGATTTTATTTAAATATATTATCAAATAATATATACATTTTAAAGTGGATGAAACTTGCAATATTTTCTCCCACCACAAAGTCATAATACAAACCAATAATATTGATGTGAACTAAGAATAGTATAATTCAATTTTATGCCGCGTCACCTCCGTTGAAGTATTGTGGTAGTCTCCATCTTTGCGA